TAATTGTCTAATAAAAATGCGAGTATAAAATAACTAATATTAATAAAATATATATAAAAATCTATATTATAACAATATTAATATTTCTATATTTTTTTATAATTATTTTCTATTATATTAATAATTATATTTTTTTAATAATAATATTATTTTAAATAATTAAAATTTATAATATTATTATAAATTAAATAAATATAATTTATAATTTTATTATTAATCTTATTTAAGTAAAATAATATAGATTATATTAATTATTAAATAATATTTTAATTATTTTATTATATAAATTATTTTATATAAAACTTTTTTATAAGATTATAAAGTTATTATTAATTTTTACTAAAACTATTTAATAATTAAAATCTAATAAAATAAAATAAAATAAAATAAATTATTATTAGATTTTATGAAATTATAATTATTTATTTCTTCATAATAAAAATATTAAAAAGCTATTATTAAATTAATATTACTATTTATAATAATTTTCTCAAGTTGATATAATAATTATATTTAAAATATTAGATAAATTAAAAAAATATATAAGTTTTATACTAATATATTTTAACTCTTAAATATTTTTTTAATATTTTATTATATTAACTTTAAAATGTATTATATATAAAATTTAATATTTAAATATTTATAATATTTTTAGAATTAATTTTAAATAGTTTAAATAAAAATTTTTTAATAATTTAATTATATAAAAACTTAAATAATATATTTAAACTCCATTTGATATACATATAACATTTTTATACTTCACAAATAATTCAATGTTCTTTGAAAGTAGTGAACATCACTGCATGCATGTAGTTCTGTATTAATTTATTTCTTGTAATCAGAAGCTTATTTGTATAAATATAATAAATATATAAATAAAAAACAAAAATTAACTCGTCGCCCATCATTATTAAGAAGTATTGGATTCACGAAGTAAAATATTTTCAATTAAGCAATAAAATATATAATGCAAAATTATTATTCGTGATACCCAAATACTTTAAGACCAACATATGATTTGTCTGGATTTACTTCATCCCCCGCATAGGCTAATAGATAATTTTTCGGGTTCCATGCGACAGAGTTCGTGGCTGCTTTTGTGGGAATACGGAAAGCTTCTTGATTCTCTTTTTGCTCTGTTAGGACATTTGTCTTTTTTTATGCAAATGATAAAATTAGATCGGAGTCAATATGTTAAGTTTGTCTTTATAAAAATAAGCTGGATAAAAAAGACAACTCACAATAATTATATGTTCATCTTCGGAAGCAGATGCCAAGTATGTTCCGTCATGTGTAAAACTTAAGGTTCTTACAGGAAAACTGAAATTACAGAATTTAGTATAAATTATAGTAAGAGTATTCAACTTAGTCTGATGAAATGATTACTCACTGTAAAGAATCATAAGATCTGATTCCGATCATTTCATAATCGAAAAGGCATACAAGTGCATCAGCACCACCAGTTGCCCAATATCTTTAAAAAGGAAATAATGTACGATAAATATAGAGTCTTATGCAACAAGAAATATAACACGAATAATAAAAATCTTTCATGATTCACCTTCCCTTTGGGTCGAAATCGATACAATAACAATTCGCCGTGTGAGCTTTCGCTTCCTGATGAAAAACCATCGAAGGCCAATCAAAAACTTTGACAGCGCCAGATCCAGTAGTAATAAAAAAGTTTTTGCAATCCATAGACCAGCTGATTTCATTGATCTTAAAGCGTGTCATATGAAAAATATAAATCTTATAGGAGCATTCATTTATATATATAATTATATAAAAATTACCTCCTCATGGTTTTCAGCGGATTCTTTATAAGTTTTCTTTACTTTGAATTCACGACGACCATTTATATGACGTGTATCTATAAAAGTTATTTGATCATCCTAAAAAAATTAAAGGAATATACATATAAATTGTGAAATCCGCTTCTTATTGAAAAACTGAGAGGTCATTACTGACCTTATCGCCAACAGCGACAGTTTCACCATTCCCACTCCAAGCGATATTTATATTTTCACCAGTAGTGTTCGTTACATTGACACATCGGTTATCTACAAATAATTATACCAAGGATGAGTGCAGACTGAATTAAAGTAAGTAATACTATTGTCAATACTTTCTTACTTCGTGTGTCCCAAAACCTTACAGTCTTGTCACCTGAGGCCGTGGCAAGTAAATGATTTGATTGTGGGCTCCAGCATAACTGATCGACACTATCTGTATGGCCGGTCAGTCTCTCTGAATTTGTAGGCTAAGTACAAAGAAATCATGATAATTAGGATATTGGCAATAAATGACTAAAAAAAATTAGATTAACAAAAGAAAACGAAGCCTTGATTATAGAAACACTAATAAATTACCAGGTCAGGGTGCCACAATCTCACTGTCTTGTCTACGGAGCCACTAGCGAGTTTGCTCCCATCACTATTCCAGGCAACAGTACGAACTGTTTGGGTGTGTCCAAGGAACTCTTGTATAGCACAGCTCTCAAAATATTCCTACACGAAAATTTCCTGATCTTTGAGAAACCCGAAAAATTTTGTGCCGCACATCACGTCCTCAACATACATCCTGGTCAGCTGCAGAAGTAGGACCGGGTGGATTAGATCTTCTGGATAGTTTCATTGTCCCGTCTCTACTAGTTTTTGCTGATTGGTTAGGTTGAAAAGGCGCCACCATCTTTTGGTTTATGTTCTTTGTTTTAATAATCTAATCTTAATTATTGATAATTTTTTGTATCACGTATAGCTTAAATTATTTCCTTTGATGGTGGAATTTTTTGAATAAAATTCATCATGGAACCAAAAAAGTTAAGTTGCGCTGTTTTTAATTCTTTTATGACGGTTTACATGTTAAAAAACTCAGTCCCAAGCTGTTAACATTAACGATATAAAATATCGTCATCACGAATCAGTAGATCAATTTTTTGTCATTTTTTGTCATTAACAATAAAATTTAATGATAATGTGATAAAAATCGAGGCATCGTATAAATTATATCGAATATGATTAAAGAAGACGAAATTATTCTGCTAAATCAATTATTTATTCATTGGTTTAATTCAACGTAATTAGCTATAAATGAAAGAAAAACACTGATTAAATTACTCGCAAAAAAAATCACATTAAAATTTCAATATCCTATACTTTACCCGGAAATAATCCTTTTATTCCTTCAGGATTAGTGCCGGTCCACCAATCATCTGAATCAAAATTAATATGGGTGATTAATGCACCCTCTGTAAATGAGATTTCATTTTCCTCGCCTGCCGTATAATCATATAGAGCAATGGCCGTCCGACCAGCCGACTGTGGAGTAGCAATAGGATGCTGTTCCGGTTCAGGCTCAGGCTCAGGTTCAGGTTCCGGCTCCGGCTCCGGTTCAGTATGTTTCAATGAGATCTGTAATATTGAAGTATAACGTAGTCTGTTAAACTTTTTATCTTGTATTTTATTGTGGGAAATACAGAAAAATTTAATTACTTGCTGCGGACTTGCTATCAATTCCACATAATTTGCTAGTGTTATGAAAAAAGTTAATATTTAGGTCAAAAATTTTATTAAAAAAAAGTTCATGAAAACTGCATAATTACCAGGAAACAATCCTCTTTTGCTTCCATCTTCGCTCACACCTTCCCACCATCCATCGTCAAGTTGTACTATATTAGTGATTACTTCCCCTTCTACTAATGACATTTCATTCTTCTCGTCTGAAATTTCAAATTATATTTATAATTGCAAATTACGTTTAAATTTGTATAATAATATAAAAAAAATTTACCAGCATCATAAGCATATAATACAACGGCTGATAAGGATTCTGATGAATCACCGATTATGGCATCAGCAGCAACCAAATCAGCAGTGTCGGCGGCTAATTCAGCCGTCTGAAAAATTAAAAATGTTAAGACAAAAAAACAGAAATATTACTACGTATTATTAACAAATACTTGTGCAAGTTCTTGTTCCAGTTGCTGCTGCTCTTCTTCGACCTGACGTAACTCTTCCTCCTAATCCCAGTACAAATTTTCAATAACAGCAGGTGCAATATAAGGAAGAAAAATCAGAAGGAATTCATACTCTCTGTAATTGTTCTTCCTTTTCTATCTCTAATTTACGTATACGCGCCGCTTCTGCCAATTTTTCTCGTTCTTCTTGTGCTTTCCTAATTCTTTCTTCTTCGTTTCTTCGAGCCAGCTCTTCCTCTTCAGCTTTTCGATGTTCTTCCTCCTCTTTACGTAATTGTTTTATGCGTTCTTCTTGTTCCCTTTCACGTTTCCTTTCTGCTCTTTGTGCTGCTTCACGTTCGCGTTCTTCACGTTCGCGTTCTTCGCGTTCGCGTTGAGCACGTATTTCCGCAGGAGAAGGTGTGTTTTCATCAGATTGTTTAGTCCATGTTGAACGTGTACCCAATGGCTTCGGATTTAAGTGTACTGGTTGATACACTGAACCCTATTTTGATATTAGTAACTAAGAATCTAATATGAAAAAATAATTAAAATGATTAGAAAAAATATATTAACCACTGGCTTTATACGATCTTCAGAAGAAGCAGCTGCCCTTTGCATCGCTGCTATATCCGGTATTTTGACTGGTTCATAGACTGATCGCTGTATTTGTTTCGTCAGCAAGAAAAAAATTCAATATTCGCGTCGTAAATGAAAATAAAATTTTTTTTTAACATAAATACCACAGGGAGAATAGGTTCAGCTTTTCGTGGTGGTTCTTTATGAATAGAGTACTTTGATCCGCTGCTTTCGTTGATTCTTTTCATTATATATGCGGGATCAACATCAGTCTAAAGAGAATAAATACTAGTTATTATAGTAAAATCGAATAAAAAAGTAAATTAAATTAATTAAATGGGTTGAAACCTCGGTACGCGCATTAATTTGAAGATGATAACCCTATTAAAGTAATTATGATTGTTTGATTTGTTTATTAGCTTTTTTTATTAAAATATTAATAAATTGCACGTGTCCATGTAACAAACCTTCAAAAAATTCGAGACTTCGTTAAAATGCGAATTAAACAAGCCTTTTTTCGTTTCCGGTACACCATCACCGCACTTGAGAGGAGGAACGGGGACACAAAAACGCCTTAATATCGATGCCAGTCAACACACTGGTACCTTTATACTCGAGATAATCGCACATGAGGAACATGGTACTTTACCCAACCAATTAGCACAAATTTTGGCAGCTCAGTATTCGGATCTTTAACTCGAACAAATGCGAATTGAATTTTCCCATCATTAAATTCGTCTTCGAGCTCTTCTAAGCCCCCATCTATATAAAAAAGAAACTTTCTTTAACAAAAGCAAAATTACGCAGTATATTATTTATTATTTAAATCACCGTAATTATTCACCTCCTTTATTTAATACTTTCAGTTCATTTGTTCCTTTATCATAACCATACAAAACCCAATCAATTTCCGCATCGCCATTGAGCACTGCTTCATAGGTAGAACGAAGCTCTTTTGAATGTGTTGTAAAATTGACTCGAAGGCTCATAGTATTCTCTATCGTCAAAAATAAACAACACTTAAACTTTTATAGATTGATCTCATTCTGCATAATGACATAATTGTGCACAAAATACATAATTATATTTAAAATAGAACTTTCATTCGTGCATAAAAATATAATTCTAATCTGCATTTTCACGATTATACTCCTTTTCTGCTGTACATTATTTTCTATACGTCTCGCATACGACCTTATTACGTGTGATTCACTTCCCCACCAAGATCTTTATCGTTACGCTTATTCCTGCCAACATTTACCGGAGCCTCAAGAAAATGCTTAATAGCCAATATCATCTGTTTAACACACCCTTCTTCCGGAACTCGCCCAAATCTTGCGCAGATAACATTATTAATCCTATCTTCTGGTCGACGCAACGTCGTATTATGCTTACGAATAGAAGTCAATAACGCCCAAGTACATCGATACACAATATCATCACCTCTATCTAATTTTCGATATCCGCATCGTTGGACAATGGGCAATATACCATGGAACATTTTTCTGATCTTAACCGATCCTTTGACTTTTTGTGCTAATTCATCCACGTCCACCAGTAGGTAGGTTCCTACATTCTGTTCGCCACACCAATCTTCTTGTAAGCTGGTTGTACGATCGGAATTCAACGAGTTTCCGTAGTATTTTAAAATGTAGTAATTGAGTTCGCCGTCCATTAGTCCGAAGCTGTTTGCCGATGATACTAGATATTCTGCCGACCTTGTTTCTAGGTAGTGGTAAGATGGATTTCTACGTTTAGTGAATTTTGTTGAAGATCGATTGTTGCGAGTTCTTTTTTCCACCAAATGAAGTGTTCTGATCTTAATTCAGTCAAAAACATGAAAAATTCTGAAATGAAATATTAATAAAAAAGATTTGTCTTGCATTAATCAAGAAGAAATGCATGAATCTTTCTAATAGTACTTTTTTAATAGTATTAATAATATGAAAAACCATTTTCAAACTTGTTTTAATACAAAGAAGATCATGTCAAGTATTAATATAATATAATATATAATCTTATTATTTTATTCAAATATATTATTTTTTTGTAATTAATAATTGTAATTGTCTTATTTTAAAAAATTCATTTATTATTACTTTTATATATAATAAATTATAATATGGCCTGGTGCAAAATAATTGGTATTTTAATATAAAATTAATAATTGCTTCTAATAAAAATCATTTAAATTTAACTAATCTCTATAATTTTTTATATTAAATAAAGAATGATCTAAATTAACTTTTTATACTATTTTAATTATTCTATTATACTTTAAT